TTCCATATTTTCCAAACTACCTTACAACACATTTTACGTCAGTAATATCGTAGTATCGATGCTTTAAAACAATGAAGGAGGAAAAAAAACACAATTAGTTCAATTAGTTAGTTAGCCTAGTTGCTCTAAATACATCCAAAGAACCGAAATTTAAAGACCAGTTTCCAATAAAATCAATAGAATGGCCAAGTGGGATCCTGTAACAACGCCAATGAATTTTCCTATAGTTGCAGACCCTCTTATTGTCTCGCATGGCAACGATGTTAACCATTATCAAAATCAATATCACAGCCAACTTTATTACTGACAGCTTTCCATCGATCATGGTGTTCCAATTCAACGCATCATCTCAGTGATATACTTATCATTTCATGATCTCCTCCACATTGTGACTGACGTTTCGAAAACCCGTGCGGAAGTCATCATCAGAGTCAAGTGGTGGCTTCCGCACAGGTTGTCGAAACGTCAGTCACCCCCACCGACAACAGTCATGTCCTTCTCAGGACTACACTTACCCGGACGACTACACTACACTTTCACATGTTACCCCCGGTAACATGTTTTCTATGTAACATGTAACTATGCTTTCGTCCCTGCAAGTCTGTTTCGTGATTGCTCACTCAACCATCTTTTTTATGCTATACAAATTTGGATAAGAGGCGTGCCGGCAAACTTAAGTGCTTTGTTCAGTTATTGCGTCATGACGCTTTGTTTCTGTGGCGGCATAAGGACAGAAGTTCATAATGTTTATTGAGTGATGATAATTCAGGTCGGCAGATGATGAGTAGTTTTTCTTTTAGGCAGAGGTTGCTTCTTTTACTTGCGCTGTTGTAAGGTAATATACGTATATATATGTAGATACAAGACTACACTTTCATCCCTACAAACCTGTTTCGTGATTGCTCACTCATCAGGGGATTTTACTTCGAATGATTCCATAGTATTCTAAGACTTCTAATAAAGCAGTTGTGTATAGCACTTAGTCTGTACACGCGTTACTCTATAGTAGTGTATTGAACTCTAATACACAACAAACTCCGTCAGGCATTCTTTGGTGGTTCTCCAAAGTAGGTGAATTTAATCTCTTTTTGAAGGCGCTTGAAAAAATACTGTTGACGTAACAGTTCAAGAAGCAGCCATCTTCAAAGACATATTGCTCTTATGCTATGACCTTTGCCAACTCATTCACCAACAACAGTCTCCGAGCGAAAATCATTCTTTTAATAACATAGTAAAATTCTCAGTCCCAAGGTCAAACTAGACACGAGCAGACAAGATAAAAAATATAATGGAGAGTGTGTTCGAGTGAAANTATCTCTTCAGTGAAATATTGCTGCAGCGATTTATCACTGAGTCAGGGATGAGTCATTGCGATATACCGTTCAAGCTAAAATTTCCCTTGAGTGAGTTTTCATATGGCGAAAATTAAATGGTTGTCTACTATATCTCGTTCAAGCGAAATAATTATATGATATTTCAAATTGCTCTTCCTGTCTACATACATATTTTATCCTATTTTAGTGAGTAATCAACAACACTTCTACACGTGCGTGATCAAACAAATATATTTAGACTCAATAACTTTAAATAAGCAGAGTTAAATAAAAAAAAGGTTTAAAACGTAGTTTACAAAGTTTTTTAAACATGATCGGAAATCGATCTATCAACGGACTTTGTTGCTGTACGAGTGCAACAAGCGAATAATGAACAACACTTCTGCACGCGTAATCAAGCATGAATTAAAGAGATTTAGACTCATTGGCTTTTTAATTAATTACGAGAAGATTATAAGGACATTTTATACTTTACAGGGTAATACGCTGTGGCTGGTTTTCAAACACGATCGAAAATCGATGTAACAATGGACTTTGTTTGACTTTGTTGTGCTGTGTGAGTGCAACAAGTGAATAATGGACAATACTTGTACACACGTAGTCAAATTTACATATTTGATAAAAAGGTCTAAGGGGTAATTCATACTCTGTAGCGCAAAAGCCCTGCATGGGTTTCAAAGTTTTTCAAATCGATCGAGCAACGAACTTTGTGTTTATTTTCTATTCGAGTGCAATAAGTGAATAATGAACAACACTTCTACACCCGTAATCAAACAAATATATTAAGACTCAATGGCTCTTTGATTAACTACCCGAAGATCATAAGGGAATTTTATACTCCGCAGGCTAAATAGCCGTGGGTGGTTTTCAAACAAGTATCACTGATATATCGCGATAATCGCGATATTCGGCGTTTATCGTTTACATTACTTTGCACAGTGCCGCATATGTGTATGTATGTATGTTAAATTTTATCTATGTTTGTATGTATCAATCAAAACCTCAGTTACACGAGGGACCTGCACAGATGTGAGGCTATGAGATTAACACAGACAAACACAGCTACACTAAAAACACAATTGGCAGAGAAAGACGAGGGTTTTTTTCGTTTGCTTGCTTTTTTACGGGCGGAAATCATTAGTAAGCCTAGACTTCGGGTACTCGACCCAGGCCTTTTTTCTAGGTGCGGCGTCGGTGGGGGTAGCAAGGTAATTTGGTTTTATCAACTGAACATAATGTAAAATGGCCACCGTAATTAGTTTGAATACTGACGTTTTCGAGCGTTAACCCCTCGTCAGAGCGTATGGAGGAATTGTGGGTTGTGCGTGTGTTTATATGCAGAAACTCCAGCTATGACATTGGTGGGAAGATGCTAATTTATAGATTAAAGTGTACAGCGACTAGTTTTGATGCGTCCTTATAATTCCTTTCTACGTCGCGAAGGTGTTCTCAGAATCGGTCACCAAGTCGTCTTCCCGTTTCGCCAATGCATATCTTTTTGCAGTAAGTGCAAGTTATGCAATAGATGACATTGGCGGAGGTGCACGTGAAGTGATCAGCAATCTGAATGGACAGTTTGGGTCCCCATATTTTCTCAACGTTGTGAATGAAAGGACAGGTTTTGCATCATGCGCGAGNTCTTGAGATGGCTAAATCTTGATGAGTTGATATTAGATAGATCACTTCACTCCTCATCCACTGATGCATTAACAGTCTTGAGATGGCTAAATCTTGATGAGTTGATATTAGATAGATCACTTCACTCCTCATCCACTGATGCATTAACAGTCTTGAGATGGCTAAATCTTGATGAGTTGATATTAGATAGATCACTTCACTCCTCATCCACTGATGCATTAACAGTCTTGAGAGGGCTAAATCTTGATGAACGTAGGAAATGTCATCGATATATATATGCATACAAGTGTATTAATGGCGAAATTAATCATTCTTTGGACACTGTAAGAAAGAGTGATATGCACTCCTACAATACGCGCAATAACGATACTATAAAGCTCCCCAAAATCAAATAAAATTGGGGAAAACATCGTTCGCGGTATCACTGTTTCAAAGACTTTAATGAGTTAGAGAGAACTGTAAGAAACTCAGTAAGTTTGCCAATTTTTAAGAATGTTTTTTTTTTCTGCTTTTTATAATGAAGTATTTTTTTAAATTAATTTTGCAGTGTATGTGTTGTAATCATTTTTATATTCCGATTTTAGCTCAAATTTCTATATTTTAATTGTATTTTTGTATAATACACATCTAGTATTTAGGACCTCTATGTAAACCACTATCGTGATGGAGCTTCCTAATAAAAGATTGTTATTATTATTATTGTTTGGAAAGTTGTAACCGCCGGGGAATGAAAAAGCAATTGAGTGTAAGCACTAGTTCGGCTAGGCGAATCAGTGTTTCAGAACTAGTTTCCTTAACAGTGCGTTGACTAAAAAAATGTTTGAGGGCCAGAAGACCTTCGCCTTTGGGAATGACAGTATAAAGAGATGCAATATCCATTTTTGCTTAACGCTCTGTTAAGGGACCTAGTTCTGAAACACTACTGCGCCTAGTTACCATTCTCGTTACCATGTTCCCACCAATAGCGTAGCTACACTTTCTGCATATAAACACAAACACACGACCCAAAATTCTTCCTTTTTTTTGCTAGCGGCCTTACGCAGTTTTCACACGACATTTTGTCATCGTGGTAAATAACACTTCTTTTGTCTCACGACGGTGGTCACCTCGGGTGTGAATCGCGACGTTTCGACTGCATACTGCTAGTCTTCTTCGGGTGATGTGGTCGATTGGATACACTTCACCCATGTACTGTTGGGCTCAGCTGTGATTGAATGAAATTCCACGGCTGTGGTCGGTGCAACCTCGGATCAGGTTCGCTCTGTGGTCCGCTGCCGCACGGCTATCCTGCTGCTGTGTTTATTCATCGTCGGCATCCAGTCTTTTGGGATTTCTATTCCACCTTTGCTGTTGATGTTGTCAGGGTGAAGTCTAGAGTGGATTGCCTCTTTCACCCTGCATATGTAGAGATAACGATCACATCAATAAACTTTACTTCGTATTGGGTATTCAGGGCGTGCTCTACAAAGGCAGAAGTTAAGTCCTAAAGAGTCGACCGGATATCCCTAGACTTTGCGGCACTAACGAGGAATCCTGTAAATTACACGCGGGATTTTGCGAACCTGAGTGGTTCACAAACTTTTCGAGTGTTCTTCCAAATTCCAAATGGTTTATCAGCTGGTAAACCGATAGAAAGAGTGTTCACTGCTTTTATGACAGAAATATACAAGAGGTTTGTCAGAGAGAACGATAAATTAATCCTATTTTGTGATCAAGTCACTGAGTCTCATGAAAACCGCCAAAAAGGATGATACACTAATCAAAGCAATAGAAACTGACAGCATGAAAATGCGATTTAAACATCGTCCAGCTATTTTGTTCACCAGCGGTCCTCTATTTTCCTCAACCAAATTGGTTTCTGTTGCCTCAGTTTGTATTAAAGCTCAAATTTAATGGAGTCCTGGGTAAAATTTACAGTAAGAGCTTAAAACGCTTGAAATTGGCAGACTATCAAACGAAAGCTAAAATCTCGGACAACAATTAGAATTGCCATAAATCTTGGGAGCACATTCACTTTTTTTAATTTTAAATATAAGATTTGATGATGTTAAAAAAAACAACATCTTTGTCGTTGTTTTTGACGTTCAAAGCGTCCTCTACGTTTCCTTTAAACCAAAGGCCCTTACCAAAATAAAATCTGGAAATTCGCCCCGTGCACGCCATTTTACAGGAAGGGAAGAAGTTTCAGTTTTCTATGGTTATGCTGGCAAAAATTGAATAGATTGTTCAAGTAGTAGCCCTTTGACGGGTTCTGGCTCATTTTCCCTGCATTTACGTCAAATTATCGTGAATATTCGTTAATTTAGCACTTTCATGGCCTGTTTTATGCTCTATCGTTAAATTATCGTGCATGCACGATAATTTATCACTTTCGAGAGATTCTTTAAGTATGTTTGTAGCGTTCACGTTAAATTATCGTGCATGCACGTTATTTTAGCACTTTCCCCGACCTCAATTTGCCAAATCACGTTAAATTATCGTGCATGCACTATATTTTTGCACTTTTCCCATCGTCTATTTGTGGTATTCACGTTAAATCATCGTGCATGCACAATAATTTGACGGCGTGCCATTTACCTTTAAGTGTGTTGTGTGACGGCTTTGTGGTGTCCTATCGCATGTGTGTGTATTT